CAAAGAAGTTACCTTCCAAGTTGCTGCATTACGCCTGAAGTAAGCAAATGTCCGTGTAAACCAGCTGTAAATTTCATTAAGTGTTAACTGCCTGTCACTCGATTCCATGATAGCCTGAAATGAGACAAGATACATAGTGACATAAAATAATGGTTTACTAACTAGGCTGGATGACACTTTCTCAACCAAGCCTTACTTTAAGCATTAATGAATTTTAATTTAATCAAGGAAACTTAATTTTCTCTCTACTTACCTGCCTTATGAGAGTTGCATAAGTAAATGGAGGTCTGACATCTGCATTTTTATAAAATTCATAGTTTGGGGCAATTTCTGTAAAACAAAACCATATAAACTGGACATTAATATTATGGGTATTCTGCATTGTACAGAACGATTGATGACATTGTTTGCTACGTGTTCACAAATTTCAAGGGAACTGTTTACTCAGGAGCACACAAAGGGCCACAGTCAGATTACACTCAGGTCGTTTCTGTGCTCCTTGATGTAAAAGTGGAAATGAAGCATACCCCAGTCAGTTCAGTGCATGCTACGAGGGGTGTGCCCAGACATCCAGGATGCTTCCAGCAGCAAGACCCTTTTAAAACTTACAGTCTGAGTGCTTTTTTTTTCATGTGGTTGTACAGCGTCAGTCAGCCACCTTCCCTGCCCTATTTTTTTCCCCAGCTATGTAAAATATTCCTTTGTGAAATTTTTCTCTGGCTAGCAGAGAAACGGGAGACTAACACACTAATGCAGAATTAAATATGGTTAGTACAGTCTGATGACAGCTAAAGCAGTACATGTTGTCACTAATACCAAATCTTTTTATATATTAATATCTTACACTAAGAGAAGACAGTTTCAGACCTTGTTTTCCTTTCAGTTTTCTTTTCTTCCTTTTTTTTTTTTTGTTGTTTGCTTTTTGCTGTTTTGTTTCTTTTTTGTTTGTTTGTTTGTTTTGTTTCTTTATTTTAAACATTGGCAGAAGGAATCAGAGATGAAAAGCAGCATCTTTCAAGGTCAGCAGTGGTCAGTGCTTCTTTGACATCCACAATTTGCCCCTACAGTATTTTAAGTATTTGTGTAAAACATGAGTATTGAAGCAAAGCACCCTACCTGATGACATGGGAATGTTGTATTTGTCTGAATGTCGTCTTCGAATGGCTCCCACATTGGGTACACTGGCTGGGGTGATTACGGAAGGTCCCTGGGTAATTGGGGTGACTGGGGCCGTTGGTGTTGTGGGAGTTTGAGGTAAGCTCTGTGGGGATGTCTCCAACATGTTCTTAGACATGGTGACACTAGACACCAAATTTAGCTGTAGAAACCCAAAAGGAAAGGAAAGCAAAAAAAGAAATTTAAAAAAAGAAATTAAAAAAAAAAGAGAGAGAGAAAGGAGAGAGAGAGTTAAAAAGGTTTGACAAATGAGAGTGGATTCACTTCTACAGCTGTGTTGCCACTAATAAGCTGCAAAAGGAAGCAGCCAATCTCAACTAATTACAGGATGAAATTGTATCATAAGAACTCTAATTAGAGGATGCTGTTAGAGGTTATCTAATAATCTGGTGCAATGTTACTTAGGACTAACTCCTTCTAGTACTACCAGACTTCACAGAAAGTATGTTTGCCTGCAACAGAAACTAGCCGGTGATTATTTAGGTCTGTTGTAAAACAGATCCAGCTCCTGCTGAAACAACAATAACAACAGTAAATGTAATAAAAGATGTTAACATTCACACAAACACAACTTAAAATAAGTTGCTATTCTGATGTTGCCAGAGTGGGCTTTTTTTCCTCTTTTTTTTTTTCCCCCAGTCCCAAATCTCAGCTGAGAGGATCCAGCCAGCTGGAAAATTTTACACTGACCTTTAGTCTCCTTGCTAATTTGGTGGAATGGTAATGACATTACTACATATTCAAACAAAATTGTCTTAATTGCAAATTAGCCGGAGGAGGCTGAAAATTTTCAAATTAAATCTGATTGGAGATGGAGAGAGGGAAATGGAATTTCCTCACTAACAATCATTTGTGGCATGTGTTAACAAATATAATGAAATGTCAAGTTTGCCAATTCCTCTGGAAGTATCATTTTCAATTTATGATTACAGTGTCACTTATTGCTGATGTACTCTGGAAAGTGGGTGTCAGGGTAGAAAAAAGGAAAAAAAAGGTGAGAATGTATGCAAGCTGTTTAACAGTGTGCCCTTCATTACTCCCCTCAGTAAGGCCCTGTTCCTCATTATCAAAAACTCGTATTACCTCTGTCATATTTACCATACATCTTTTGTCATAAATAGCATCCAATTAGCAGAATTTATACTCAGGGCAGCACATAAAAAGATTGCTGCCATATACTTAAATGATACTCATAAGGGGTAATCTGTAGTCTTTTCACTTGATACAGTAATTTATAGAGCTGAGTGAGAAAACCAATATTAATTGTTCTTCAGCTGTATGGAGTAACTGCAAGTGGCTAAACACAGGAAATTTGGGTTTTGTG